AAGAAAGAGAAAGAAAGAGGGGGAAGAAAATAGGTAAAGAGGTTTTTATATTTTTTTATAAAAAATATAAATATTTATTTACATGTTATTTTATTTATTCATGTTATCATTTTTTTTTAGTTAGATTATATATATCATTAAAAAAATATAAAAAAATATCAAGTGGGTGGAGTTAATGGCTTAAACTGACGAAAGTATCAAAATTGTGCAGTTATTAAAGTTAAGAGATTAAAAAAGTGTAAAAAATAATTTAAGGACCAAAAAAGTACAAAAAAATAATTTATGAACCAAAAAAGTACAAAAAATAAAGTTGAGGGATAAAAAAATGAAATTTAATGAAGTTGACGAACAAAAAAGTAAAACTTAATGAAATTGAGGGACCAAAGTTAGCATTTAACCAAAATGGCGGTGTGAAATGTGACGGAACATTAACGGAATAATAGGAGATTTAACGGAAGTTAGTTTTCCGTCCAATTGGGTCCTTATTTGAGAATTTCGTGGAGTTCGGGACCTTCATTGAGCGCAATCGAAGTTTGGGTCCGAAATTGCGAATTTGGTGTAAGTTCGGGTCCTTATGTCAAATTTTTGCCTTTTTTTTTTGGGAATTCAGCACCTCACTGCCCATCTAAAATAAAAAGGAAAATATCATGCTTAGTATGGAAAACTCGTGTTTTTGGTGCATTTGCGCTTTCATTATGCCCATAATTTGGGAAATCATCTTCAGAAGTCAAGCCAAATGACAAAATAAATATAGTAGTTGGAGGTATATAAAATAGAAATTAAAATATATTCAAGTGCATGTAGTACACTATTCAACCTTTTTTTTTTTTAAGTGTTATTCATACTTAAAAACATCTAAATTTATTTTCTAGAATGAAATAATATGTCCTAGGTAAATCCAAAAGAAACTTGATTGGAAGGCCCAAGGTGGGCAAATTCATTCCCTTCCTCATGCAATAAAACGTTCAAATCGGATTCAACTTCAAAATCCTCTCGTGCACTGTTAGAGTCAACAAACAAGGCAATCTGAGCCTTTGTCTTGGCAAGCTTAGTTTCTGCATTGTGTATCTCTTGGTATAAAAGTGATATAACCCCGACACAGCCGCAAACAGGATCTTGAACTCGACACTGTGCCTCATAGTACAAGCAATCCACTGTAGCCGCCCGTTGATTTACAGGAAGTTGCTTAACAATAGAAAACAAAAAATTAACAAAATTAGAAAACCATAATAACATCATTAAGTATAGAGACAAAGGGATTGCAGAAAATTAAAATGTCTAAATAATTAAAATATTTTTATAAATAATAATAAAAACACATAAATACAATAATAAATTAATATGCAACTAAGATCTAAATATTTTTAATGACAAAATATATTGATACTTATTTTGCTCAAAATTAAATGTAAAAGAATTTTAATTACCTGTAGCATTCTTGCAACATTGCTGGCACCATAGATTCTATGGATGGAAGCAAATCTTTGAGGATCATGAGGAGGAAAATAGGGGGAGAAAATGCAATCCGAAGGGCACCTCCTTCTCAAATACTTGCAAGCAGCACAACGAGTGTTCATGATTTCGAAATCTAGAGAAAAATCCAATTCAAAATATTCTAACTAAGACGATCCTAGATCTCAATCTTTTGTTTTTGAAGATTAATGTAAAGGGAGATTTGATTGTAGAGTGTGTGATTTAAAAGAGATTATATATTTAGAGTAGTTTCCTATTAGAAACTTTTACAACGGCTAGTTTCTTTCTTTTTCTTTTCTTTTTTTTTTCAAAAACTAGCATTTGGAAGAAAGTATGTATGATGGGATCGGGCTGCAATAACAGAATATTGGAGAGAAGAACAAATGTGGCCATTTTGGCAATTTAAACTAGAAGACATTTTCTTAATAATGGTTATAGAAAGTATTACTCTAATAAGAGAGAGAGAGAGAGGGGTTAAGCATTGAAGAAAGAAATTCTTATTGCTTAAAAAGGTTCATTTTTAACCTTTCAAATGTACACACAACAAAGCCTTATAATCCTCTAATTAAAATAATAATAATTTGTTGGTTTTTTTTTTTTTTACTTGAAAAGTTAATTGTTTAGTATTATAACTGTTTGAATTTAGATTTTGATTTTATATCAAAAATTTTAAATTAATAAATGTTAATTTGACTAAACTTTTATTATTTGTCAGGTTAGTTATATATAGTTTTATAAAATCATCATCAAATTTGTAATGGAGTGGAGATAACGCTGCATCTTTGACATATTAGCCACCAATTTAAGGCAGCAACTTGGTGCGCCTCCCTTACACTCCGGTGCCCTTTACAGGGCGTAACACTCCGTGAGGTTGGCGGGACGCTTTCTCCCAAAAATTATAGATTACTTTTTTTATTTTAAAATAATTATTTTTTTATTTTTTTAACAAATTTAAAAATAATTTATGTGTTTATTAATATTGTTCTTAAAAAGGAGATATTATAAAAGATAAAAGGCTTTAATGATAGCATAATTAATTAAAATAAATAAATAATGATAAAGTTAAATAAAAAAAATATGTGTATAAAAAAAAAAAAAAAAAAATAACAATTAATTTTAAAAAAAATCAAAACTAAAGGACAATAGTTGTATAATAACTTATTAAAAAAATTAAGGAAATAAAATCTCAAAATATTTTCTTCTAGATTTAGTTTTGGAACAAAATCCGATTTCATTCTTATGCTAGATTTCTCCGTATCAGAAGGCTATTGGTGAGTAAATCATCCCGCAGATTTGATGATCATCAATTGCCAAATAAATCAAGAAAATTTGAATGTAAAATTATTCCTTATTTTACCTTCTCTATATCATTTTCTGTGTCAATTCTTAGATACAGCCTTTTTTATTTTTCAACTTAGCCTTTAGTGGGAAAAAATATTTAGTGGTGTGTTTGGGATTAAAGTCAAGTGTCGTGGTTATATTGGATTATGAAGGGTGTGAGTGAAAGTTATATTATTGTTTGGACATTTATTTAGTTAAATTTTATTTAAAAACTATTTTATAAGACAGATTATATATTGAAAATGTAATTTAACTTATGATTTTATTAAAATATTCTTAATAAGACTAGTTTTTATATTATTTTATTAAAAATATTTTAATAAATTTATAAAATATACTATACTTCTAATATAAATTGTAATACATAAATCCTTAAATTTTAATCTCTACATATAGTTAATTATAAATTTAAAAAAAGTGGTAAAAATATATAATTTATATAATTATAAAAATAGATACAACATCAATGCCCTCTTTTAAACAAATTTTAGCTTACAAATTAGTACTTTAGAAACGATTTATTATTATTATTATTTATTTGCCAAGAACACAGATTAGAAACAAATTGGATTTCTAAAAATTTCAACATTAATTTTATTTTTTAATTAGTTAACATTTATAACTAGTTTGACTTGTTTTCCTAAATAATTTAGTTAAAATCTCATTTTAACAAAAATAAAAGATTTTAAATTCGAATCGCATAATATATAATATATAAGTATGATATAGAGTGACTTTTTATTATCTAATTCTAAATATATGTATATATATATATATATAAAAGATTGGCTTGTTTCATCTTGATGTTATTAATTGGACTTTGGAGTTACAGAAAAGATTCAGTGATTGATGTGGAAGATCAACACCGTAGCATAGCACCCGCTTAAACAAAACCCAAATCGATAAAGAAATTTTCTTAAAAAAAAAAAATTAATAATTCTTCTTCTGCAAATTACCATTCTCCTTCCCTATCACTTAAGTGAAATTCAGCTGTTCCTTCTTTCTCTTTCTACCGAATTATTCTTTCTATAAAGGCAAGTCAGCTTTGATTTCACATTTTGAAGAGAAGGGGAGGCAGAGAGTGGTGGTGGAGGAAATAGAGATTAGGGTAATTGGTAATTTTAAAATTGTATTAAAGTTTGTGGTACTGTCCATGAGTGTGGTGGTGGAGAAAGTACTCTAACAGCGAAGCCGAACGAAGTCATATATATACTAATAATGTTACGTATTATCATAATTTTATAATTATAATATAAAAATCATATGATTAATTGTTTTTATTTAGAAAGTTACATATAATATTATATATATTTATTTAATATTACATTATAATTATAAATTTATAATTTTACATTTTTTTTTTTTGAACATGAGGTAATTATTGGAGATGGGGGATTTTTTAAGTTATTGATGAGAGTTGAATTCTCAACCAACTAAATCTAAATACTAAAATTTAGAGATGAACCATCAAATTCAGAAGTCTGGTTAACATATTATTATAACTATAACATTGCAGTATTTATATCATTTTCATGTATAAATCCATTTGTATATACGAATTGAGTTTATTCACAATATTAAAAAAATATATAAGTACATATCAATACTAATATTTGAGGATCCAAATACGAAGTGAGACCAAGGAATCTGGACTTGAAAAAAATGAATATTACTCCATATATCAAGGCTTTGAATTTTATTTCACTAAAATGGACAACCTACAAATATAAGGTGCTGAAATACGGACGGCCTTTATTAGGCCAAGCCTATCATATAAGGTACTGAAATGCAGACGACTTTTATTAAGTCAAGCCTATCAGCTATATGTTCCTAGTATATAAAACATATGAAATACATGTCAAGCCTAACTAAATCATATCTGCATTCAAAACTCAGAAGCTTGCAAGGATCCTATGCATCACCACTTCACGGGCAAGAACTGAAGCAGTCATCCATGAACTCATCGCTCCAACTCTGAATTTCAAAGACAAAAATGAATCAGATTAAACTAAATCTCGCAACGAAACAAACTTAACACACGAAGCTTATGTGTGTGTGTGTGTGTGTGTGTGTGTGATATCATGCCTGGTAATTCTGAGAAGCATTGTTCATGGGATATATAACGATGTTTTCTCCTCTGCTTTGTTGCTGAAAAAACATAAGAAGTGATGGTTCATATGAGATATAGGCTAAAAGTTTTGTAAAGCAAACTTCGAAGGGAAAAATCATGGAAATTAGACTTACCTGATTAGCATTTTGATCATTGGATGGATAATATTCCCCTAAAGGAGATATGCTGTTAGCAGTAGTACTATTGTTCTCCAACTGATCTCCTCCATTGATAGAAAACGATCTAGTGCCAGTCAAGTTAGGATTCAGAATTTGGTTGGCAATCTGGTTCAGACCATCAGGATTCGAGCTATTAACAATATTTGGATTCAGGACATTTTCCTCACCCTGATGCTATAAACATCAAAAATAAATAGTTGCTTAGTTCACAAGAAAGAAAATATGAAAATATGAAACCTCTGTGATAACAAAGTAATAACTTCTTTGTTGATAAAAAGGAAATTACTCTCACCTGAAGAGGGAACTCGAAGTTGGTTGAATCAAAGAGATTGTCAACGTTTTCATCAAAGATTGAAGCATTGTTTTGGAAGTTGAAATTGGAATCCTTTTCGCCTCCAGTTCCAAGAGTAGAGAGTCCCTCAGGCATTGGTGCTTGCTGGTTGTTTGTTGTTGCTAATAGGGGTATTGTTGGTGATACTTGGTTTGGAACCTGACCAAACCCAGCAGAAAGGAAGCTTCCTTGGCCCAAATTACCAGAATTTAAATTCCTCAACATTGGTGCAACATTATTCATGTTTCCATTACCATAGGCACTAGAACCAGCACTACCATTACAAGTACCATTATTCATGTTTCCGCTACCATGGACACCGGTCATCATGGTTCCTAAGTAGCTGCCACTAAGGCTGTTGGAATTTGACGCTATATTATTGTTGAATTGCATCTGACCTACTCCAAACTCTCCATTGGAGGCCATCCTGGTTCCCGAGTAGCTGCCACCAAGGCTGTTGGGGTTTGGGGCTATGCTATTATTGAATTGGATCTGATGACCTATTGCAAACTCTCCATTAGCAGTCATCCTAGTTCCCGTATAGCTACCATTGTGGCTGTTGGGGTTCGAAGCACTGGTAGAATTATGTAAGGTCGATGCCCCAAACTGGAACTGAGCAGTGGAGGTAAAACCATTACCAACATTATGAAGGTTAAGTCTTGCTTGAGTACCCTGTTGGGGGTGCGTGGGCCTTGGACTTAAATTTGTACCATTGATCAGGCCATTGAAACTGGGATTATTCATCCCAGAAGAAAACCCTCCATTTGTTGAGAAATTATTCTCAAAGTTACTCAATCCAACCCCGAAATCGGTTTGATTAGCCTGATAATTACAAGAACTTGCATTTCCAAGTAGGGGTTGCTGCCTGTTAGCTTGATTGTGCTGTAAATTGGATTGTCCATACCTAAATTGATGATTGGGGAGACCAGGTCCAGGAGGAGAGGTGTTGTTGATGGAACTAAAGGCACCTTGACCAGGAAATCGGAGGGTTAGAAGGTTTGGATTAGGATTTAGAGTTGTTGTAAGCATGTTGCTTCCCCCATATCCAGGATGGGAATTATTTAGTCCTTTCATCTGTTGCTGTTGGAGCATCATTACATGGCCAGTGGCAAAGTTTGACCGGAGCGCCCTCTCCGTTAGGACCTTTGATGGGCATAATCCTTTTTCTGCAACACGTTTCAAGAAGAGCCGATACTTCTACAAAATTTACGAGCACAAACTTATTATATTTGATTGGTGAAATTGTAACATTGTTGTTTAGGTGTAATATTAGAGTGAAACATACGCTTAATTAAGGAATGTATCGACAGAATGCGTGGCACAACAGATCAAACAAAAACACTTAATGGTGTTAATATAGTGGTTTCATCTAATCTAATTGTTAATAATTGTTATTATTAATAATTCAAACACTCTTATTTAACCTGCTAACTTCTTAGTTTTAAACTGCTATATTAAACACCAAATTAACCATATTTCAAGGGCACAAACCTGTAGATGACTAGCAACATTCTCTCTGGTTAACCCCGAGACATTCATGCAATCGAGAATCTTCTTGGGGACAGCTTCTACAATCATTAGAAAGAAACTGTAAGAGGAGAACATTAAATAAATTCAAACAAAGCAGCAAATTAACAGAAGAATATCCTTACTTTCTAGACCAATGTGTCTGATGGCTTGTAAAAACCGGTTGTGCAGTGAATTAGTCCACACCACCTTGGCCTTTTTGGGCACAGCTGACTTTTTTTCACTGTCATTTCCATTCCTCCCCATCCTTTTCCTTTTGCCATGTTTTTTGGCTCGCTTGTTATCATCATCACTCACCGAGGATGCCCCAGAATTTGTGTCCCAAAAATGATCATCTGTTATAGACATGTCATTATAATCCTGTTCTGGTTCCAATTCCTCCTGCAAGCTTCCAATCTCTTTGATGATGGGAGATTTTCCCTTTTTAGCTTGGACTGCGTACTGCCATACATTCTTGAGGTCATCTGGGTTAACTGGCTTTACAATGTATAACACAGCTCCACAGGCTAAGCTTTGTAGAATCACACTTTCTTCGTCATCAGAAGACATTACTGCAATAAAATAGATGTTCGAACTCATTAAAGTCAACAACTCAGAAATGATAATGGGAATTGGGCTAACAACTACGTTTAATTAACTCAAACATTATTATTTTTTTATATAACAGATCAATTGATTAAAACCCTCGTATAGGAGATGTAAAAGGTTAAAATATTATTCACAAAGGTGAGAAAATATTTTTTTATTAATAATTTAATCAATTACTTTACTAATTTTCGTTATCAACGTTTTACTAATGAAAACTATAATTATACCAAATTAAAATACTTAGAGTGAAAGTGAGTTGGTACTTACTAATGACTGGTAATTTGAATTCATCATCTATTTGTTTTTTGAGTTGAAGGCCATCCATGCCAGGCATATGGAGGTCAGTGACCACGAGGTCAATGCCTGGACGTGTCCGAAGAGTCGAGAGAGCATCATGCGGGCTTTTCACGGTTGTCACTGAAAGATGAAAGAAAGGAATCACAAGATTAGAATTTAAAATTTATACTAATTAGGAAGTTAAATAGCTTCAATCAAGGATTTTAAGTTCGATTAAAATGAAGAGCAGAAAGTAAGAGAACGAACATTAAACAATGGAGATGATACTAATCATTTAACAACAATGATTGAAGGGCCATATATATAAGAAAAATTAAAGCTAAAAGTTTACTGTGTTAATCCTTAAATAATTATCATCCTTTCTAACTTTTTACCGGAATTTAATTAAGAAAAATATAAAAATAAAGAGAATTTTAGTGATAAGGTGGATAATTGAAGTTAAGAAATAATAATAAAATTTAATAAAAAAATATTTTTGTATTTTAAAAAATAAAAATTTAACAACTAATTTAAAATAAATTTTAAACAAAAAAAACTTATTTTAAGACAAATGGAATAATTTTTTAAAAAGAAAAAATTAAAGGTTATTTATATTTTTAGCCTTCTTGGGAAATGAATTCGGGAAGAGGGAAATGAACGAAGAGATGAAAAAGTCCTTTGGGTTTTGTGGGTAATACTCGGATATTTAGTGATGTTATAAGTCTCTAATTAAAATGTTTTAAGTCTGAGTTTTAAAAATGAGGAATTTGATGGAAAAGGGAGGGAATTCAAGAATTGAGACTTAAGAGTATTATCTTTTTCTATATAATTTATTTTTGTATGCTAATTGAAAAAAAAACAATTAACAATCCAAACTACAATGAATTGCAAAACATTATTAGCCATTTGAGTTAAGAGGAGGCCAAGATATACACTAGAGGAGAGTTGGAAGGAAAAGGTCATGCAGTGCAGAACACCAGACTCTAGAAGAAAAACCTCAACCTTGTATACATGTAAAAATTAAGAGAGATAAAAACGGAAAAAATCTTTTAGAGCAAGGGAAAGATCACGCATGCAACTATGCAAGCCCACAGGGTTTCAAAGAGAGTTGAGCTTTTTTCCATGTTTGGAAGAAATGAAAAAGGTCATTGTAATGGAAAAAAGAGAATTTAAAACAAATCATTAGCATATATGAATCCTTCAAAACTCATTTAAAAAACATTAGCACTCATAAAAGACATTAAAACCAAAACTTCTTCAAATCCCTACACCTACACTAAAGGAGAAAAAATTGATGAGATCTGAACATGAACCCTTCAAAACTCACCTTTGATTAGAACCCAAATGGAAGTATGTACTACATCATTTAAAAAACCAGCACTCATGAATACCTAACTTCTAAAAAGAAACCAATATCTAAGAAAGGAAGATATCTTCATTCAAAATACCTTCATAACGCTCCCTTAGCATCGCAGCAACGACCGTTAAGGATGTGGCATCATCATCCACAACCAAGATTGTAATCTTGGTGACGGCCAAAGTGCTTTTGTGGGGGTTGAATTTAGTCATGCCACAGCTTCTTCTGTGCTTCAGGCTCAGTGGCCACAGATTTATACTGTGAATTAAAATGGACTGAAACTATCAAAAGAACTTTTTTATCCAAAATGTCGTGGGGAAGGCTAAGTTAGAGGGGGATATATTTATAAAGAAAGAAAGTAGGTGTGGCATACAGATTTGTTTAACTCTGGTTTTGTTATTGCGCCCCCTGATATTGAACAAATTGCCTGAGGAAATCTGGACTATAATCTTTACATTTTATGAAATTTACTAAAATTAATTAAGAGGTTAATTACATAGATGGAGTTCTTTCTAAAGTAAGAAGATCTCAATTAATCTTTCATATGTACATATGTTTTTATTTTCCATATTTGTAAAGATTTGATATCTTGTTCATAATCTTGCAACTTTGCCTAAATTGTTCTCCCAATTTTTTTAAAGGCTCTGTTTGGTATAGCAATTTTAAAGTAATGGTTAGCGGTTTTGCTTAAATTATTAAGTATATGTATTTGATAAATTTATATATTTTAAAACTACAATAAATAAAGTATTTGGTAAAAATTTTTATTTAGCGTTTTGGAATTAACAGATAGTGATTAGAGTTCAAATCGTTGACGAATTGCAATTTTATAATTTTATTGACAAATTTATCTATTTTAATTTTTAAATTTTTTGTCACATTTTTTAATTAATATTTATCTAATAAGTTTCGATTTTGTCTTTTTACCTTTAATAACATTAAGTGATTATAATATTTTTATTTTTTACATTAATTTATCATTAAAAAATATATTATCTTAAAAAACAAAATTTACTAATTAGACAA